TGGTGAGATTTCTCTGGCGGGGCTTTTGATTTTTGTGTTCTTCACAAGAAACGTTATTTTCTTGCTCAAAACATACAACAATGGCGTCTGCTTGATGCACTGCTCAAAAGTCCAAAATATCCTTCCCCTGCATGTTTGAATTTCAGAATCAAGAATGACAAAATGTTAATTTCGTTAATAATTCTTTCTGTATATTCTATTTGTTGTTAACTAGGTGGTCGATCGCTGAGAGTTGAGAAGCCGAAGCGGCACGAGACGATGGAGAGCACTTGGAAAATGATTACGGAGAAGAAGGAAATGCCGTTATCGAGGCACCTGAAGAAATCAGAGGCGTTCGAGGACACATGAAAGAATTAGGTGAACGTGGATTCGCTCGCTGAGCCGTTGCCGGTGGTGAAACGTCCAAGGACCAAACCAATTTCCAGATGTCATCGGTGCAAGTGAGCTCGTCCACGGCTTCAGTATTGAAGCTGAGAAAGGAGGCAAAAGCCTAAAAATAGCCTCTTACCTTTACCTTCGTAAGTTGGACGATTTTAACCATTTACCTTATAATATAATGGTTTTGGCTCATAACCTATAAAAATAGAATAGAAAAAAATAGCTCTCACTTCTAACTTCTGTCATACCTCCGTCACTTCCGTAACTTTTTTTGTTAACTTTGTCCAGCTTATACCTATAATAAATAAAAAAATGAGAAAGCTTTTCCAAGAAGCCTGATGTTTTTTTTTTTTTAATATCTACAAAACGTACAGACTACAGAGAGAATTCCACGCTAAAGAGGTGATTAGGAAATTTCACTCCGAATATTAGTAAGATCATAGAAATGTTTGTAAAGGAAGATAACAAGTAGATGTTCTTTTGTTCCATATATCTTAATGAAATGATCTTCCTTACTATTATTTCATTGATATATTTATTTATGTTACCATATTTGATCGTTATGTAGTTTTAATTGCACTATACTATAAAATATCAATCATACTGCCTTAAGAGGTTCTCCTTGCACTTAGAATGCCTTTCTGCATTATTGGTTTACATTGTGCACTCTGACTACATAAGCCCTTTTCTATTTATTTATGTTATAATTTCCTTTTATATCTAAAAGAACTTTTCATTTTTAAATACATTAAATTTTGGACATAAAGTTCGGAGCAACATACTTTCTGAGGGTAAAGAGAACAATATTGTGATCTTCATTCCCCCTGTTTATTTGATAATCCATCTTTCCCATTATTTATCACATGAAACTTTATTAATTAATTAATGTTATTAACTTAGAAAAACAGAAAATAAGACGTAGGAAAGACAAATCGGGCTTTAAAAACGTTTGATTTTGAAAACTAAAATTGGTCTTAGAAAGCCCAACAGAAACCTCAGCTTCGTAATAAAGTTATTTATGTATTTTTACATATTAATAATATAATAATAAGAGAATAAAAATATCATTTTGAGTATTTATTTTCCCTAACATAATTCTTAACTCATAAAGTTTTTGTTTCCATTTATTTTGAAAGAAAAAAGGTTTTTTTTTATATTAAACTCACTTAACAACTTTTCATATATTTCTTACTAAATGTAATAAAATTAATAATCTAACAAAATTCTAACAAAACTTAATTATAAAATATAGGAACTTTTAGTACAGTACTTTTTTAATCACTTTTTTAATAAAATTTTTTTTTTAGTAAAGTGTCTCTAATAAATGAGCCCTAAGCAGAGAGTGGGAAAATCAATATGGCTTTAAAGTTTAAAATTAAGGGTTAGCATTTATACGTACAAGTTAGGTATAAGTTATATTTGATATTTGATTTAAAAAATTTTTAGGTACAATCTTTTAGATTTAATATCTATTAAAATACTTGAAGACCTCTATTTAGTACTTAACCCAACAACTACTAAGTAATTTGTAAGTATATATTTATATACTTGATTTAGGAAAAGAAAAGGTTTATTATGAGATACTATTATTACGTATGTTATGTATTTAGTTTAGAATTTATTATTTATATGAATTGTTATTACTATGTGTGCAATTAGTTTTGCTTATAGTCTTAACTTTTATTTTTATTATTTTTATTTTTAAAAATTACTATTATATGAATATTAAGAATAATAAGTATATGTAAAATTTCTATTATACAAATATAAGTAATAAGTCAATTAAACAAGTAAATTAAATAAAATGAATAAATAATTTAAAACCTTTATATTTATTAACTTAACATTTATAATTATATTATTTTTATACCTATTTTTTATTCTTTTCGTTTCTTTTTTTTATAATTTTGATATAATACTTAACCAAGCGAATAAACTAGTAATGGGGGTACACGTAACGTGCTTACTCCTAAATTTTAAAATAGTTTGATTTTGAAAAGCAAATTTGGGCTTAAGATGCTCAACCCAAAAGCCGAAACCTCATGTTTCTCTCCATTTAAACAGGCCAATACCAAACAGCTAATCTGGCCCAATCTAAATTAAAGGGAAATGATGAGGGAAGATGGTGCAGTTAAGTCGCGGCAAGGAAGAAAGGAAGCTACTCTGAATTTGGGAAAATCTAGAATCTACAAAACGTAAAGACATAAACCCACGCGAGATAGGAAGGAGGAACCCTTTAATTTTTTTTCTCCTCTTTACTCATCATTTCGACTTATTTCATTGGAAAAGAGACTATTCTTTTCTTAGAAGAGGAAATATACTATTTATTATATATAGTCCAAGGAAATCTAAGATGCTGCCGAAAAGGAAGAATGCATTAACTGGTTAACTAACAACGATGGAGGAGAAGAATATTTGTGTTTTAAGAAAGATCCTTTTTCTTTTCCTCCTCATTACGCATCCCTTTTATCTTTTTCTTCATTCATTGGACAAGCACCAATCTTCAACCTTTACCTTCTATTGTCCGGAGGTATAAATGTTGCTTGCAGCTATTCTCTACCCCCTTCACATTATTCTCTCCTCTTTTGTGCTGAACAATCTCCAAACATTTCTCTCTTCCTAACTACTGAATCAAATATGGCTGAACTTATTGTTGGTCCTCTTATGGATGTCATGATATCCAAGGTGATTTCAGTTACTACTGAGCAACTCAACTTAGCAGTGGGATTCGAACAGCAGCTCGAGAAGTTGCCTGGGATGCTGGGAATGCTAAAGGGCGTGCTACAAGATGCTGAACAGAAGAAGGTGAGTCACTCTGGTGTGCAGGCTTTGGCTTAAGGAGCTTGGAAAAATAGTTGATGAACTTGACGACGTGGTAGACGAGATTGCATATGAACATCTACGGTACGAGGTAGCTCAAGTGTGGGAAAAGGTCAGCTATTTCTTCACACTTTCCAATCCTTTAGCTTTTCGCCTTAAGATAGCTTGCAGGATTAAGAATTTAAATTTAGAACTAGCTGACCTTAATATGAAGGCCCGTGGGTTAGGGCTGCAAGATATACTTGCTTGCAAGCAAGCATCCTGAACATATAGAAACACAACAAACAGATTCCTCAATTAGTGACCCATCAAAAATTGTAGGAAGAGAAAATAAGGTCCTAGAAGTCGTTGAATCATTGATTGACTCAAGTAATGATCAACCTCTCCTTGTTGTATCCATAATGGGTATGGGAGGCATAGGCAAAACTACTGTGGCCAAACTAGTGTGTAGCAATGAGAAAATACGGAGTCATTTTTTCAAAATAATGTGGGTTTCTGTTTCTGAAAATTTTAATTTGAAACGAATTTTAGTAGAGATGTTGCAAGCTTTTGGTGTAAAATTTTCTGTGGATGTAAGTCAAGATATTATAGTTCAAAAACTAGAGGAGAAATTGAGGGAGGAAAAATTGAGGGAAGAAAAATTGATGGAGGAAAAATTGAGGGAGAAAAATTATCTTCTCATATTAGATGATGTATGGAATGAAGATCCACAAAAATGGGAATCCTTAAGGAGCTGTTTGTTGGGAATAGGTAAAAATGTTAGGAGTAGGGTTCTTATCACAACTCGAAGTGAAAAGGTAGCTTGCACAATGGGAACACTTTCTGAGCACATGCATCATCTTGAGAAGCTAGCGGATGGGGATTGTTGGTCCATAATCAAGCAGAGAGCATTTGTCAGCTCATCATTCTCTTTAGAATTGGAGGGGATTGGAAGGGATATTGCTAGCAAATGTAGAGGTCTAGCATTAGCTGCAAATGTTATTGGAGGGAGTTTGTGTAATAGTAGGAAGAAGGATGACTGGTTATTGGTTAAAAATAGCAATGAAGTATGGGGTTCAATAGAAGAAGCTAATGGAGTTTTGCGAGTGTTGCAGTTGAGTTTCAATCGTTTGCCAACACTTGTTCTAAAACAATGTTTTGCTTTCTGCTCTATTTTCCCAAAAGGTTTTGTCCTGGAAAAGGAGATGTTAATCCAGCTTTGGATGGCTGAAGGATTTCTTCAGCCATTTCAGTCATTTAGTGAAACACAGTTGGAGATGGAGGATATTGGTGATAAGTATTTCAATGCTTTGTCATCATATTCTTTATTTCAGGATGTTGAAAGAGATTCTTATGGGAGCAATATTGCTTGCAAACTTTAATTCATGATCTTGCACAATCTATTTCAAAGTCCCAAATTTTGATTTTGGAAGATGGTAGCAGAAGAAATAATCTTGTAGACATTCAACATTTGAGTGTCATTTCTGATAAGGGTATGGTAACAACAAAATTAGGGGATGCCACTAAAAAATTGCACACTTTGTTTTCACAAGTTGATGTCTTTCATAGTATGTCAATGAACTTGAGAAAGGTGCGGGCTCTTAGTTTCTGTGGTGCTAATATTGACGAGTTGCCAGCTTTTTTGGGGAAAATGAAGCATTTAAGGTTCTTGGATGTTTCAAGAACTAAAATCAAAGAACTTCCCAAATTCATCACCAAGCTCTATCATTTGCAAACATTTAGATTTATAGATTGTGACTACCTCAATAGGCCTTTGAAAGGAATATGGGATTTACTCAATTTGAGACACATTTATTTCAATGATAGAGAGCTTATGCCAGCAAGGATTGGTAGACTAACTTGTTTGAAAACATTACAATTATTTGTTGTGGGCCGACAGAAGGAACATCAAATTGAAGAATTGAGATGTTTAAGTCAACTCAAGGGAAAATTAGAGATTTGCAATTTGCATATGGTTAGAGACAAAGAAGAAGCCATTGGAGCAAGACTTTCTGAAAAGGCTACAATTCAGGAGTTGCAATTGGCGTTTGGTGGGGAATCCAATGGTAGTGAAGATAGATGCAAACATGATGAAGATATCTTGGAAGGCCTCCAACCTCATTCAAATTTGAAAGGCCTCATTGTTGAATGCTATTGTGGTAAAAGTTGTCCTACATGGATGTCAGAAATAGAAAACCCAATGTCAGAAAGAGTGAATTTTCTCAAAAATCTAGTGTTCATATCCCTTTATCAATGTCCCTGGTTGGAAAGAATTCCATCACTTTCACTCAACGATGAGGCAAAGGTGGAAATTAACTATTGCAAGAATTTGAAAAGCATTGCATGTTCGTCCCTTCAGAAACTCATCATTGAGGGATGTGAAGAACTGGTTGGGGTAAAGGTTGGACCAGTTGCCATGAAGTCTCTCAAAGAAGTACATATAGAGAGATGTGGTAAATTGAAAAATATTCCGATGATTAGTAAATTACAATCCCTTGAGATACTTGAACTTTGGGATTGCGAGCAATTGAGGATGATTGGGGACAATGCTCGATTTGCTTCCACGTGTCTGCAAGAGTTAAATATTAAAAGTTGTGGTTGGCTGATGTCCATGCCCAATGTGGATGGGCTTTTCTCTCTTCAAAAATTTGATATATCTTTTTGTGGGGAATTGAAAAGCATAGGGGGGAGTTTATCTACTGCCATGTGTCTCAAAGAGTTGATTATATGGGGTTGTGATGGTCTGACGTCCCTTCCGAGCCTCTACGGCCTCTCCTCTCTTTAAAAAATTGATATATACAATTGTAGGGAATTGAAAAGTATAGGGGAGAATTTATCCACTGTCACATGTCTCGAAGAGTTGATTATATGGGGTTGTGATGGTCTGACGTCCCTTCCAAGCCTCTATGGGCTTTCCTCTCTACAAAAAATTGATATATACAACTGTAGGGAATTGAAAAGTATAGGGGAGAGTTTGTCTACCGCAAAGTGTCTCAAAGAGTTGAGTATATGGCGTTGTGAAGGTCTGACGTCTCTTCCGAGCCCCCATGTGCTTTCTTCTCTTCAAAAAGTTCAAATATACTATTGTGGGGAATTGAAAAGCATAGGGGAGAGTTTATCTATTGCCACGTGTCTCAAAGGGTTGACTCTATCGGGTTGTAAAGGTCTAACATCCCTTCCTAGTCTCCATTGGCTTTTTTCTCTTCAAACTTTATTGATAAGGGATTGTGGTGGATTAAGAAGTTTGCCAAGTGGGTTGCCATCATGCACTGCCCTTGAGGAATTGGCTATCGCTAACTGCCATAATCTAATCTCTATTCCAGATGATTTGAGGAGGAGTTGGAGCATTCCTAACCCTGCCTGTCTTGCTCGCTTGAAGAAGCTGACTATTGGTGGTTTCTCAACAGAGCTCAAGGAATTTCCAGATCTGGGCTTCATCTGATCTCATCTTGAAGAATTGACTTTGATTGCATGGGGAAAACCAAGAGAACGTCTGCTGGATCAAATTCAACACTTGACTGCCCTTAGTTATCTCAAAATATGGGATTTTGATTGACTGGAAGCTTTGCCAGAATGGTTTGGAAGCTTATCCTCTCTTCAAACTCTATGGATTTTGAACTGCAAATCTCTGAAACATATGGACGCCATCCGATGCCTCTCCAAATTAGAGAGGCTTTTTATTGAAAGATGCCCTGAGTTAAAGGAAAGATGCGCTAGTGGAAGTGGTTCCGAGTGGGACTACATCTCTCGCATTCCAAAGATCTACATAAAGGGCGAAAGGATCCAACTCAAAGGAGATCCCATTGAGGTATCTTTAGCCTTTAACTATATATAATAGTAACTCTTTTTTCTTTAATTCCCTCTTCTTCCTAATTGATTTCAATTATGCATTTACCTTCTTCCAATCTTTTAAGTATTACTACTAAATCTTTTTTATTTTTTCAATTTACTTATAGTACGTAGCAACTAAAACCAAATTTACTATCTACTAGTCTACTACCATTATTACCTACAATTCAAAAGCAAATTAAGTTGATAATTTCTTTTCCCTTCATTATATGTAATTTCAAGTTTTAAAATGTTAT